CAACCATTTTGCCCCCCCCCAGTCAAAGTCCCTTTTCTCTAAAATATAAGCAAAACATGGAATTTAGAAGGGAGGTTTGATATTCTAGTAACTGAAATTTGCTTTGTGAATCTTATGTCCTGTCTTTTATCTTTAATGCTAAACCTTATTAGATTTTACACATTTTCCAGTGGATTGCATATCCCAGACCCTATTATATAGAATTGAGTTGTTGGAAGATTCGGCTAATCATGTTAGTGACCGCAGGGGACAACGGGCCCCCAACCCAGTGTTTTATAAGGGGGGGGGGAATAATTTTGGCCCCCATAAAAAACCTAATTGATTTCGAAACTAGAAGTATTTGAAATCGTATGTATATATAATCAAATATCTGTAATCGATATTTTGATAACAACATTTCTCGTGATACGTCATCCTGACTCGCGGATAGCATAGACTCACAAATCATAATGAACAAATTAATGAAATGGCCTAACAAAAGAGGTAGAGAACACTTTGAAAATGCCATTTCCAACAATTTAGAGACGCAAAATCTTCAAACTTTTTCCGCTGTGCCAACCATGGTGGCGCTTCGTGGGAGTTGGGCGCTCTGAGTTGACTCCTTGAGTGACGGCCAAGTTGTGGTATAGACTACATAAACATACTATGCAACCCGGCAAGATGGTGGAAAGAAGTGAAAGCCATTGGTGGTCTCTCGTCAAAAAATTCTTGGTATTCTCAGCTATTTTCTGATGATGTTCGGAATTGTGAAGAACTGGCCGAAAATTTTAATAACTTTCTTACTGCCCTTACATCACATTTTGACCCTCTAACTCTCGACGAAATCCAGGAGGGCCTAGAAGTACCAAATCATTACCTCGTTGACGCCCAACAGATCTATAGGAAACTTAGTAAAATTAAAACCACACAATCACCGGGTCCTGACATGTTTCCAAATAAAATCCTGAAAACATTTGCCTTTGAGCTTGCCCCAGTTATCTCAGACATTTTCAACTCATCCATGACACAAGGCACCTTCCCAAAGGCATTGAAGAGATCTATTGTAGTGCCTGTCCCTAAGGTATCACCCCCAAAGAGTATTGAAGACGACCTACGACCAATATCTTTAACATCTCAGATCGCCAAAGTTATGGAGGATTGTACTTTGGACAATTTTTTTCCTGAAGTTGTAAATAAACTTGACACCAAACAATTTGCACTCCCAAAGAAATCAACGACCCACGCTTTGGTCTACCTTTTACATTCAATCTTGGTTGCTCTTGAGAGAGGTTCCTGTACTGCCAGATTGTTCTTTGCAGATTTCAAGAAAGGTTTTGACCTAGTAGACCACAATGTTATTATTAAAGAGTTAACCCTGCTTGGTACCCATCCCTCTATAATTCGGTGGATTAAAGCCTTCCTCTGGGATCGCGAACAATGTGTCCGGGTGGGAACTTCTATGT